ATGAATCAAAGCAAATCGGTTGTCGTATGATATTGTTCCTCTTCTATAATCTAAGTGATATTCATTGCTTGAGGATATGCACCACTGATCCAAAAATAATTGCATTTGTTTGTAGACGTCGCCAGATCCGTTATGCAAAAAACAAAATGATTACATTTGCAAGTATTGCGGTAAACGTTATGCGTATGCGTCATCTCTCTACGTTCATACTCGTTTACATACCGGTGAACGACCGTTCAGGTTATTTCTTTGATCGATTAAATACTTTATTAGAAGATTTCAGTATGAAAATAAAACTTTCGTTGAACGAGATTGAATTCACTTATGTGCTCACCATGCGATGTTGGGCTAGGTTGATTCGCTCGTCGATTATTTCTTCAACAGCCTCAGCACCAGTTAATTTGAATGACACGTGACTTTGAGTGTTCCAAATTGAACTCGCTTCAAATTTGAATTGGTATTGAAGTGTTCACTGATAGCACTAAGATCTTAAATGTTATCAAATCAGTGAGTGAGCTGATCAGTGTCCAACGACGTGTAAATATAGTATTATGAATTCAGATGTAGTTATTGTGATAAATCGTTTACGAATCAGGGCAACATGCAAGTTCATCAACGTGTTCATACCGGCGAGAAACCGTTCGTTTTTTATTATCTTTCAAGTTGATCCTTTATTTGCATGTAATTTGATCTTTGCATCGTTCAGAACTATCCTCCAGAGTGCATCGCAGCACATATATCCTCATCACAAGTCTCCATCTTGTTTAGATACAAATGCAACGCTTGCGATAAGAGTTACGCACAGAAAGTTGGCCTGAAAATCCATCTGGAGCAATGTCAGCAATACCTGAGCAATGAAGGAGTTATAAGTGCTGATGAAGATCTCGAAAAGCCGAACGCAATAGAATGTCTGATTCCAAATATTCTACGTCAGTTTTCAAATTATTATATTTGTTAATCTAACCAAATAATTGATAGTCATCTTTGAAAGCAGCAAGGTGACATACTGAAGATTCTAGTTAGATAGCTTCTAAGTGCACTTCTAAATGTGCACCGTTCATGTTCACGTAACTTTCGTACTCCTCTTGAACGCAACAACGTGTATGTGGCAATTGCAAGAAATCAGCTTTGTTTTTAGGTATCCAAGATGGTGCAATCTCGTTGACGCCCTTCCAATATTCACCGCAAATGATCGCAACAGAACGTCACGACAGCACGAATTCTTCCCCAATCAGCATCAAACCTCCGACAAGTTCACCATTCCAAACAACTCAAAGCCCCCAAACAAAACTGTTCGCTCCACCTCAACAAATGCCTGTTTCAACACCATCATCTCTACTCGTTCAATGCAACACGAACGCAACGATAAGCCCACCAAAGGCTACAGCTATAGCCCAAGTCCATGTACCAACCCAAAATATTATCAGCCCATCGGCATTCCACGGGATCGTCTCCGATCCTTACAAAGGCTCTGCATCGATCGAATCGCCATCTTTCAGTCATCCACAGCTAGTCACTCTGAAACGGCTTTTGGACGGCACAACAGCATGTTCCCAGTTTGTTCCAGCGCAGTTTTTGTTGCCAAATCAACAGTTACAGTTGCTTTTACAGTCTTCACAACCGAGCGAGCAATGGTGCACGAATGCCTCTGCAATGAACCACCAACAACAGTATCATCAGAATCATCAACCAATGTCACATTTCATGTCAAATATTCCGAACGGCTTGTCCAGTTATGTCTCGTTACTACCACAACTGACAGCTACTTTTCCCGGTGTTATGATGCAATCCGGTTTTGTACCGCCAACGATTAAAAATGAATCTTCACCAATGATTGTTTGAATCATTTCATCAATATTCAGCTCTGAAGCATACCGAATGATCGAATGCTCAATTAGATAGTAACGAATCTAACCAATCCATATCATGCTTTCTCGATTTCAAAATTTAGTGCAGAAGTGTTTTTAATCAACAAATGTGTACTCGTTGACTGTGTTTTCTGATGATAAGAACTGATGGGTGGATAATCACTGTTTGAATTATTCATATAGTTTGAATAGACATGGTATGATAGTGGTTGCCGCTATGGAGTTAGGAAATTAGATCACTTTCGGGATTGTTGTTGAGATGGGGCATTGTTACAGACGGTGCTATGCAGGGATTTTGAATGCGGTTGTAGGTGCCAACTCGAGCGATTTTCTTGGTTGATTTCTTGATTTTTATGATAAAACGTATTCCAGTGCAATTCGAAAAATTACGCATCCCGTTGATATTGTCATTAATCATCACTTTTGTTAAAAACAACATAATTTCGGTTGATATTATGGTATGAATATTAAAATATTGTTAATATTAATATTGTTATTGTTTTCGTCATGATATTAAGTACTGATATGTGATGATTCAGTTGTATCCTTATTAGTGATTGCTGTCATTATCAGTTAATTCATTCGCTCTCTTCAATGTTATTATTATTATTATTATTATTACTGATGATCAATTAATATTTTATTTAATATTTATTCTTCTTCTGATTTCTGATATCATCATTGTGCGTTTATGATTTTTATTGTTTGTGTTTTCCAACCTCAGTTTATGTATTTTTTGCATTTGTTGTGCTATTGATATCATGTATAACATCCATGTCATTTTGAAATGACTCAATTTCAAAGTTTTGTTTCCATAATTTAAATTTGACGTCACTTTTTAAGTTAACCGTGTTGGTTTGATGTATATGACCAGGGAGATTCCTTGTGCACTATCGACTTTTGTCGATAAAGCATTTCGAAAACAGTTGAAGAAGTCTATAATGACTATAATTGCAAGCGTTGTTCTTTGGATATGTTCGAATGAATCAGGAAGATGTGTTTTTGGTGTTCATTGGAAATGATGTTCAATATCCGCATCCTAGGCAAAAAGGAGACATGTGCATTCTTGTATATTATTCATTTCTAAAATATTGTTTGTTTCAATAGTCTTTCTTGAATGGTTTCATTTCTTAAAATGTTGTATCTTAATGAGAGATTATATTCTGATTTATGTATTTATAATAACACATTTTTGTTTCGTTCTATCAGAAACGATTGATTTTACAGTCAGCTTGTATGTATCTCATTGAATTCTTATATTCGTTCGTGTCTTTCGTGCCCTTTTCGATGTTTCGTTGGGCTATCCTTCTTCAAATAAATAGTCTTTATTGCATGTTTTCGCTATATTCACAGCCTCATAAAGTACGACATGCAAAAGTAATCTAACCATAAGTTTTAAATTGGATGCTAAATCAATCACAGTCCGATAAAGTATTTCACCAACAGAGTGTGAATATATTACAGGCTTTCGCGAATGCTATAAGTTGATATTTTACAATTATAATTTGAAGATTGACTACAATAGTTGGAGTTCTTTTACAAAACGCATTCACGGGATCGTCTGTGATATAGAGCAGTGATTCTCAGGAGCTGCATTACACCTTCTATGGTCCAGCAGACCGTTATTATCCCATCCCATCCCTCATTGTAAGGAATTGCTGTTTCCATGAATGCAATCTTGGAAAGCGGTTGAAAACTACAACGTGCGGTTATTAACAATAAGTGTGAAATTGAAAATAATTTCACACATTATCTCATTCATAAATATGAAAACAACAATTTTCAATCTAGAATCCTAGAACACATTCACCACAACGTAACATATTCATCACAAACCAAATATCTATGGCACAATTGAGATGATACTTCGTTCAAAATAATTCATCCACGAACCCATTATGTGAACTAACTAAAAAACTTTCCGAAACTTTTCAGTGCAACCGAATAACAGTGATGGATGAATTCGGAAATACTCGCTCGTCTCGCCCCAAAACTGATATTTTTGCCGTACCGAAAAAGTCAATCAATTCCTACTGCTCATAAGAGACTTTAGCCAATAGATTAAAGAACTGAAGCCAAAAGATTAAAGAACTTACGAAATACTCGTGGCTACTTCAAACTGACTTAGACTTACACTTACTAAAGATATTCAAAATATANGAGCGAAGCGCATTTAGAAACAATTTGAAAACAATACCATTACAGTGGTCTCCATCGTAACATAATAACTGCATGAAATATTATTTTGTCGTCACTTTCAGTTACCTCCTGACACACCAAATTACGCCCAGGAATAGTTTACTCTTCTGTGAAAATCACTGGCATAGAGGAACTTTAACATTATGTCGCGCTGAATTATGCGCAAAGGTGTTCTTATAATTGTGAGATATTCTATGGAAAAAATGAGGTTCGTTGCTAATTTCCAAAATTATGATGAGGATGATGCAGTGAAAATACTACATGAGCCACAGTTGGGAAAGCCGAAAAGTTTCTGAATGTATAATGTTTCGTTGAGTTCAATGAATTGGTTTCAGTGGTCATACTCAGCGGATAATGCCGAGGCCCTGAGATTGATTAGGGGAGAGTGGATAGGTTCATGAACTGGGATAAATAGCATAAATGACAAAACGAATAGAAATGAAACAGGACGACGAAGCATACAAAGAAAGATGGAAATGGCTGTAATTATTGCAACGATCATGCATTTTGAGGTGAGACTGAATCAGGTCATTCATATTATTATTTCTTTGATTTGAGAGGTGATCATGGTATCGCAGTCGGTCAGTTGATTGCGATGAGTTCGTACCTCCTTCATTCAAATGGCCACCACCACTTCACGTGATCAGTTGTTTTGATTCATCTTCTTTCGAACGTCTAATATATCATGAAAAAAACTTCACTCGCAAGCACTTATCGTCCAATTTCATCTGTATTATTCGTCATATTCGTATTAATTACCAGCCATGGTCAAGGTGAGCAATTTCACTAACCTAAGCCAATGATTTTGGATTTTGATTTCTAATATTCTTGATCCCGAAAAATTCAATATTAGGCACTTGTTTTAGGTCGAAGCGACATTCACCTAGTTTCAAATGTTCAGTTAAATAGAATCGCAGCACTGCGCACGAATTGCAAAGCAAAGCGAATAATCTGTTAGCCTCGAGACAGTTTTTGAAACTCGCCAAAGTGATTTCGTTATGCCTTCTGCTATTTTCAGTTAAAGCTTTCGCTTGTGTGCATCCAAATCGTGCAACTTATGTGAAGTCTGAAGGAGTGCTTCTCAGTAAACACCCACAAGCATTTCTAGAGCATTTGACGTTACCCGAATGCGCTTCAGTGTGCACGCAGGTACGTTTTCGTTTACTATCAACATGATGTGATCATCGATAAGGCCGGCCGGCAAATGAGCTGTTAAATAAAAAGATTCTCTGATTCTGCCAAACTCATTAAAAATCTTCACGAAAAACGACGAAATATTGTAAAAACCGTTCATCTTGAAGACAAATGATATATAACATCATTCAAGCCTGAATCAGATTTTGAATTGGTTATATCTTTATTCCAAGTCCACAAGTCATTTGAACTGATGGAATGGTAATAAAGTCACTAGGATACGATCAACCTTACACAACTCACAAACAGATATTCGGGTCATCCTCAGTATTGCATAGTCACTGCGCTTAGATATGCTTCCAATTATTATAATCATTCGTTTGATGTGAATGATATGCACTACGTCGTAACCATTAATGCACCTTTAATGAGTGGTTCACAATGTTTTCTATTTGAAATATCAACATTGTGCATGATCTGCTGTTCAATTATTGCATCTTGATGATCTTTCGTGATCACTGAAATGCGATTTCGATCCTATTCGCTGATTTCAAATACTTTCAGCTACGTCAAAACCGGTTGAGGGTAACTTTTGAGTTGAAATGACTCCTAAAATTTGTCCGAAGTAATGTTCATATGGTTGCCTTCACAATGAAGGGATCATTTCGTAGAGGAACGTCATAATCAAAAGATTAAGATAATTCAGAAAAACATGTTCACTGACCGAAAACCGACCGGTCCTCTACTGAATAATTCGCTTTCTCTATAGAAACCCGTCCATCACAAAATTCAAGGTGAAACTGATTGATGACGAAGAAACTGTGAAGGGCGCAAAATCAAAGAGGACCTAAAAAGACCAGATATAAATTAATGCGTTTTGAGGACGCTCAGTGCTCAGCATTCCAGTACGTTCCGTCTCGGCTGCGATGCATTCTGTCGGATTCAGCTGATGGTCACCCATCCGAATTCACACCGATGTTGCCGTCCGACTATTCGCTCTATGAAAAAATTTGTATTGAAAGTGAACACATTTCTTAAATTCGTACTTTGCCTTGTCAAAGAGACTATCCTTTGTTTGCTGCTCAATTCTTTCTAAATTTCTGACGTTTATGCTTCGAAGCCCTCATTGGCAGCATAAGTGCACAATTGGGTAAGGGAACACTTTTCAGTTCAAAAGATGATCGCCTAACTGTTAGTGTTTCATAGGTTAATCCATTATTAGAAACGTAACTCACTCTAGGATGGTGATTACTGTGAACAAAATAAGTACGTACGACATCTCTATACAGAACAATTTTTTGCGATCATTGTTCGAGGAAGAACGGTCGCTTATTTCGAGCGTATAATGATCATGTTATTATTGCAGCATCGTTCAACTGTCCGTCGCCACACGCCTTCGAGCGTTTCGCAGGACACGTACTGATCGGAAATGCACTCGAGGTTTGAATAGTGTCATTTCTTGTCAACACCCTTCCAGTGTAAACGCAAATTTTCGCCGAATTTCCAGGTGACATATGCAGAGAATTTGTCGAAGTGTTTAGCAGGTTGTCTTGAAGCGGCAAAAGTATTCCAAATTGAATGCAGGTTTGCCGGATTCTTTCGTTGATGTGTTTAGTTGTTTTTGATTCATTCCTATGAAAAGATGATTAAGGAGTTGTAATTTTGACATGAATCGCTGCTTATTCTGGATAAAAACTATGGTTTGTTGATCAAAAATGATCGTCCACAACCAACAAATCCGCTAACACTTCAATTTTCTGTCATATTTGAATATGATTTTCAATTTGAAGTAATGTCTGGTACGTGGTGGGGAGGCTCAGTCTTCGGATGCAAACTTTATCACGTTTGATTGCAAGGATAGCGTGATTCTAGTTTGACACTCGTACGACATAAACAGTTTATTGTGAATATTTCAAATGAATGATGTCAGCTCAACTGTGTTTTGATGAGATCAAAAGACCTTCTTCAGCTATGATTTTAGATCGGTGATGTATTATTACACCACAAAAGAATGCATTATGAATCGCGAAGACCGCAGTTCATTGCCGAATCTTTTCGTCTTAAATGATCTCGATCGCTCAATTGTGGATTACTTTGATAATAAATGCTTGAATGGTTCGTTGCGTACTAATTACATCGTATGTGAGAATGTAATCACTTCTTGCCACTTTCAAATAAGAGCTATTATTTGCGATTCAAGTGCAATGCTCAGACTCACTTTTTCTGCAGCTCGGTTCCATCATGGAATCCTTCGGATACATTGCCCTCTCTTCTTGGAACAAATTAGCCAGTTGATAATATACCAAGGGATCCCTTACAGTTTACAGCTGATCTCGAAAACTGGTGTAGCTGGTAATTGATATAAGTTCCCTCCAAAACGAGCAAGTTATTCTAACTGCCGATTGAGTTTGCAAGTATGCTCTTCCTAAAGGACTTAAATGAATGTTGATTATGTCGAAGAAGGAAATGTACTCGACGTTTTCCTGAAAACATTAATTTTTCACCCGCCTTTCTAAGAGTTTTCCTCGTTGCAGTAGCATGTCAGGATGGCTGGTCGGTACACTGGATCAAAATTCAACCATTCGAAATCAGTAATCATAGCGACCTTATCATAGAAGGTATCAGCAAAGATGAATGCCTCATACATTGCTTGGTTTGTAAATTCATTCTTAGAGAAGTAATAGAGATATTTATGCCATGATGCGCCATTTTCACTGTTTCATTCTCATTGTATTATAGCATAATTCGATCAATGATCAACAATTTCCATGCAAACTATTCACTTACTCGGATACAACGTCAACTTGTCATCTAACCACTGAATCAGGAATGATAAGGCGAGAGAAGGCTACTCAGATGGTAAGAAGGTTCGAAGGAACGGAACCAGAAATATTCTATGAAAAAATCTGTCTTCAAAGTGAGCATTTATTCGTTTCATGAAACACTTGTTGCACAATGACCTCGATAAAAAATTCGAGTAAAGTCATTGTATGACTGAATTCAGGATCAAAACCTGAACAAAGATAGATAGAGGAAAAACCTTTTCTAAATGCATCAGTAGACGATTTACAATGTTTTAAGCAAATAAAGAATGTGGTAACGTCAGTTTCGAACAGAATCCCGGTCGTGTTCCCAGAAATGTGGTCAAAAGTGAGGTTCGTGATCGAAACTTTCTNATCAGTAGACGATTTACAATGTTTTAAGCAAATAAAGAATGTGGTAACGTCAGTTTCGAACAGAATCTCGGTCGTGTTCCCAGAAATGTGGTCAAAAGTGAGGTTCGTGATTGAAACTTTCTGTGTTTAAGAATCGTTTCTGAACGAAGTTACTTTTTAAATGAAGAACATACCAATTTCAATGCGTGCGAGAGACTGATTCGTCATAATTTTGTTTTCTTTCATTCTTATAAGTGACTGTTCAGCCAGTTTCGAGCTAAATGATTTTCGCAGTTCTTTTTCTGCATCATTCAGGTGATACCTACGTTGAGTGTTTCGGAATGCTTGGAACTCTGCTTGCAGCGAAATTCACGATGCAACGGTGCCATATTTTCAAGGAACAAGGTGATTTGCGATCCTTTCGAGCAGTTCCACTAAGCACTGATGTAATAAAACAATATGTCAGTTAATCGGAATCGTTTTTGAACTTCATTGCTAGGCCTGCGATGTGCAAATGGAGTGAAATCCGCAGCATATTTTCAGGATGAATGCATAATAACGACAAACTCTCAGGATTTCAATTCTGGATTGAGACTACCTAAGTCTCAAGAGGTAATTATGTCAAACTCTGATCAATTGTACTTCACTTTCGATTCATATACGAAGCGTTCACTTGCTGATAAGCACATATTATTAATCTGTTTGATGAAATGACCATTTCTTAATGTCGTCGTCCTTCACTTTAGGTCGACCATTATGTAAACGTATGTGAATATGTGACACGCGAGCAATTCTTCGACGATATCCATGAATCGCCATCGCTCCATTTGTGGTCTGATTCAAAGCCAGTTGAAATTCCGGAGCGTGCGTATGACAGTAAACGAATTACTGTTCAACACAGCGCTCTATCCAGCCATGAACATTCAGTTTCTCAACAAAACGCAAGTTGGTCTAGCACTTTTTCCAGCCATTCCATACCGAAGCATTACTGAATGTCATAGTCCTCTTAATTGAACTCGACTATGCACACGATCGGAACACGTGAAAATCACTGCGAATGAGGATATGAGTGACAGAGAAATGAATAATTTTCGAGCAGCTGTTCTCTGTGCAACAAAATGTTAATAATTTGCAGATAACATAAATTGTGACCTATCAGAATGTGATATTTTTCATTCCTGAGAACATCTGACAATGAGTGCACAGGACTGAATATAATGACAATTCGTAACATAGAAATGTTGCCCCTATACAGATCAAATCTTTATCGACGGCGATAACCTTACGTAGCTCTGCTATGAACCGACCACGCATATTGACTTCTACAGCTTTAGGTCAAGAATGCGACGAATTCGTAACACAAAATATTCTCCCAATAACTAAGATGGTAACTCGTCAGAGGATGCTAAAACAGCAACCCATGCATAGCAACATGAAGTAAAAATGAGCTGAGCATGAAATGTTGGTGCAGACACCGCGCAATATTCCCATTAGAAATCCCGACATTATGAAGTATGAAAGCGTTTTTTCAGGATATGAGTGATAGAGAAATGGATAATCTTCGAATTTTCAAAACAAATTCCATTTTTTGCAGTATTGCAAACCGAGTGTAATGTCAACAGTATAATTGTTCGAATGCGATTCTCATCAAAGAAAACGGGATCTATCTTCATCAAGGATCATTTTTCGACGTGTCATGCAAATTTCGAGAATTCTAGCGAAGCCGTCCTCAAGATTGAACTGCCGTCACTTCACGATGATAATCCTTCATGTCCCGCTCATGAAATTGTTCGCCTCAATGATAATTTCGTAAACATTTTTGAACTTGAATGCTCAATGCAGATCTTATCCGGCACTCCGAAACGCAACATCTAAAATGCTTTTGATTTCAATTTCAGAAGCCATCTAAATGGTCATTCGTTATTGTCGTACACAGAAACGACTCGGAAAAATCAGCACTTGTAGTGGACTTAGATCGTGTTTTTAATATTTCTTGCGACTATTCGAATGCTGTCATGAATTCGAATATGCCGACCAAAATTCAGTAAGTAATCATTTGANGATCACGATCAGTACATTCAGGAATCACAGCTAATCACCGAATCATATTCGCATCTTCAATTTCACAACAAGAATCCCACCACTAAATTGGTCACACTTGCCTCATCAGTCACAATTTCCTAATCAATTTATTGCAATGAAATTTCACCGTCAACTATCAACTATTTGATCCTAACTCAAAATAGTAATGGGATCAGTTTGAGCATTGCAGGCCATCTGCTGAAGAAATGAACCAAATTCAACCAATGGAAGCACATTCACGACCAGGACAAATAATTGAGATGACTATTCTTCGCGGAGGACAGCCAGTGAGCTCTGTGATGTTAGGTGAGGAAGTGGAGATTAGATGGACGACAGTAAGAGGCGATGATGGCAGCGACAAGTTCGATTTCAAGGTAACCGAATGCTCAGCCGAACGATTGGATGGAACAGCACCCAACCCACCGCCACTGCAGTTGATCTCTAACGGGTTTGTTGAAGTTTTGTCTTGCAGAAATATGAAACATGGAAACTTTGAAGTGGAAATTCATTTAATCAGCAATCATTTAAAAATCATTTTCTATGAAACGGATATGATATGATACGCATTTTGTCCTTCCATTTCTATTGTAAGCAACAAATGTGATATGATTTCTGTGAAGCAATTGTTTCGATTTCTTAAGATATAGCTTCATATTAAGTTCTCAACTTGTTCTGTATGATCCTATTGATAAAAGCTTTGGCTATTTTATTTGTGATGTTCGGACGGACTGTGCCCTTGAATCTTCTCAATGACTTAGTGCTTCACTTAACTCTTTTGATGAAAATGATTTCTACTTTAACAGGTGTATTCGTTTTACCGAGCAATTACTTCAACATTTCTCTAACTTCGTAGAAATGTTTCAGTCATGGAATCATGCCTTACATGGATGTTATCCCATTCAATGATTTGACAGTGGAAAAGGAATGATTTGACCAAAAAAGAATTTTATGATGCATTTTCTTAACATTTTGCGGTGAACCTAACACTGCATGTTCAACTTATCATTAGAAATGGAGGGACAAAATACAATTGTTTATAGGTGTCCCAATCGAGAATCAGTCTATAGACTGATTTTGCATCAAATCAAAGAGATTGAAAATGGATACAGCACAACGATGAAAGTGTTCAAATTTGATGGCTCACGTCGTGTTCGAATCATATGTACAGTTGATATTTGTGACGGGGATTGTGATAAGGTAAGAGGATGTACATCATTGATTGAAAATATTCAGCAAAGCGTTGGATGAACTCAAGTCAAAATTCAGTAGTCATAAAATATCGCAAGAAAAGAATTGTTTCTGAGAGTTGAGAGGAGGAAATGTGTTAAAGCGACCCTTTATATGTGATACAATGCTCGATGGATTAAGGCGCGCTGTGAAGCTAGCGAAAGCACTGAGCTTCAAGAGACTGAAAGTAGAAATCGGAGAGCTCCATTCGATCACGACAGCAGTCTTCCATTACTGTCGCTATCAACATCGCCGGTTCGTACATAATGACTCGATAGATGATTATCTCCGGTTCAACCCTCACAGAGAATGATCATTCGAACGATAATTCAGAAATTTATTAGGATAAATGAATTCAAATTTTTTGTTTCCACCAAAAGAATTCTCAAAATCGTGCTGAGTAAGCGATCAGAAAGAGCCTATTCGGAAGATATCATTCCTCATTTATATCCGTAACTTTTAGCTGTTAACTAAGACAACATTTTCACTGATATTTAATGTTGTTATCGTTGTGCATCTTCAGTTGCTCTTGAGAACTCGATATAAGAGAACTTCGTTGCGGGGCACGTTCACGGTTTTGGAAAAAAAAGATCAAATCAGTGAAGCAGACGATTTGGTCAATGATAAATTAATGAACATTTCAAAGAAGTCACCAAAAAGTTGGTATCAACTCAGACTAACTTCGTATCCTTATTCACAGTTCTAATTCCCTTCTGAATGTCGATTAAGTAATAGTAAATTTCTATCCCGTTTTGGTCATGCATGTTTTTGTTTTATTTCAGTTTCTTCAGTAAATTAATGAATTTACAATGTTCCAACTTACCGCTTCAAGATGGCCGTTTCTAAAAGTCATAATTCTTTGCAGGTTCTCCAGAATGCGTTTCATCATCAGAAGGCCATTCATATGTTGGTAAAATGGTCTTTTGGATTCTGGTAGTTGCAGTGATAGTGTTGTGCTCAGTTCAATGCATTCAGCTGCTCCGTTACATTTTCGTGCATTTCTATGCAAAGGATGCTTCTAGTTCTGGTAAATAGTGATGAAGTTGTTGCTGTTATGATCATTTGTGTATCTTTGGGATGCACAAATGAATAGAGTGATTGCTTAAGTTATTTAGAACTATTGAGAGAGGTTGGCGAGGAATTGGTGAAAGTTTTGTTTAGTTCAACACAGAATAATCGTTCCTCTTCATGCTGCTACCTGATCGTAACAAGATTTTTGAATCGGAACAATGAGAAATTCATAGTGCAAGTAATATGTGATCATAGATATTGTGATCGAGTATCAATTATATTTGTTCGGTGCGTGATCACCAATAGGAGTGCAATCGCTTCTGTCCGAATTTGAGAGGCATTCATTAAGCTCACTGCAGATTCTCAACCAAATTGTGATTTCGAATCATGTCAAGACAAGGCCGATAGCGATTCAAATGGATCACACAAAGGAATTCCTTGTGAAAGAATATATTTCTCGTCAAGTCAAGAGTGAGTTCGCAGCATCTCACCTTAATTCACTCACATTTTCCATGAAATGATTACAGATATGTTAGCATGCAACCCCTTAGTGACAGTCTCAAATAAGCATTATTCACCAAGCTACATGAACTTTCATTCCGATTTGCTGAATGAACAACTTCTGCTAATGTTGATTCCACTCACAGTTTTCTCTCTTTCCTACCTTTAATGATAGTTTCTGATGATTGTCGAGAAATGGTATCAGATATTGAACATGTTGCTGACACCACACCGATATGAAATTACTGTAAATTCAATTTCAGTTTACCACCAGTTCATGCAGACCAGCGACGCAACTTCAATGTACATAAATATTTGGTTTAATCTGTATCGTTGTAAACTATTGATTTGAAAATGAAACACTACTGAGTGATGATCAAGCGATATTTCAATTTATGCATGTTTTTATAAGCCACATATACATTCTAAAATACACTTGTTTCATGCCGCTTGTATAAAGTGGGCGACCTAATTTCGCATCTCAAATTTTCCGGACATTTTTGCTCATTGGAAACCTAAAGAGTCATGTTCGAACATCTAGCAAAGATTAAGAATCGCCTTATTATTACAGTGCTTACCTAATAATTATGAACACATAAATGTGCAGTGAGATCGCACGAAAATATGATTAGCTCAGTTTAGCGCATGAATGAAAGTGACTGAAATTTCGATAGATGAAAACCTGTTTTTTCAGTCACTTTGCTTTCTTCTTTTCTTCATTCTCGCAATGGACTATTGCAAATGAGCAATAATTGATTTCAATCAAAGCGTTGCATATATCTCAGCAAACAATTTCATTCATTTCAAAGACAATTCACAACTCACGTGCTCGGAACGTGCATTCATTATCGCTTCACCATATAAACATTATCGCTATTCAACGTTCGGCTCATTGTTTTCATCCTATCACTGCTATACATTTGCATGCATTCATCCACACTTGCTATGTAGCAATAGCTTTACCATTTCATTCACGTTTTTAATGGCTGTGATTTGGGTCGTTTGATGAACGTTCTGAAATGAATATTCGAATATCGTACACGGCGCGCTGTTTTTAATTTGTAATGAATATGAGATGATACACTGTGAGACATTATAATACGTTGTGCATGAATGGTGCGTTCTCTCGTTGTATTCGATTCAACTTTTTGCTTAGAGGTGCTTTTGACTTTTATGATGATGCTTTGTTTCAATATTGATATTGATGTTGCTTTAATAATAATAATATTTTATTCGCATGTCAATATGTATAATGTAGTACAATACAATCTAATACTATCTGGCGAA